GAAGAAAAATCTTAAAATAGACTTGACAGGGCATTCATCAATTTTCTTTCATATAGATAGAGAAGAATTAAAAATATGAAATGCATTTCATAAATTGTAATTGAGACTTTCTGGTGACAAAGGAGAATTAAAAATAGTGTAATACATAAATTACAATTTGGTGAAAAAGGAGAAAGAGCATTTCATAGTCAAAGATAAAATTAGAGGAGATCAAGTATAAAGTAACAATGATTTTCTCAACAAGTTGAGTATTTCTTATATCTATCCAGTTCGTGAAGACATGTAAAATTAGATTTTATGAGTTGACATAGTTGCAATTCACTCGAATTTCACCACCATCATCATCATAGTCTTGAATGTTTCCAAGCTTCACCATGGATGTGGCAAATTGATGATGAAAGAGTGAAGATTGCGAAGTCAATGCAGTGACAAGGGGCGCAGTACGTGAATCGATGTACAACATTTGATCAGTCGATAACAAACCCATATTCTTCTCAAGATTTTTGTAGTATTGCACGTCGAAGGCCTTGGGGGTCACTGCATCAAGTTCCACATATTCCGATGCCCATCGGCATTTTCTCCTCAAGAAATTCAAATATTTAGGGTTGATGCTTGGATCAGGTTTCCCAGTTCCTTTGTAGTTATACAACCTGTTCTGTAGAGAACCACATGTGCTTCTTCCAATGGTATGTGCCCCTATTAAAATTAATTAAGACAAATGAGAAATCATACATATAGCCTGTGTCTGACCCCCCATTTTCTAAAACTCATTAACATTGTCACGTACCTGAGAGGACGACCAGGTCGAGCACATTCAATCCCTTGGACTGGAAAAACTCGATCATGTCAGTTACTTTTTCGTGACCCATAATAGGCACGGAGTCAGCTTCATGTGCAACCGAAACTCGTCCGTCTTTCCTTCCATATGGTACCATCCAAAATGGACCTCCAGCTGCAACAGTAGCATCTCTAGCAGCAGCAGTAAGAATATCAGCACATGACACAGTTTTGGGACATTTTTCCTCAATTTCTGCTTTGATATCGTCAATCACTTCAAATCCCCTCAATGACTTGCTCGCATTGGCTATCCTCTCACTTCCTTTATGATTCAGAAGAATTGAAGCATCACATCCCTACAACACCACGATTTAAAAACAAATTAATTAACAGGCACGAGATTAACCATTTCATCTAAATGCTTAAGCTACTACGGCTGCTACTTACTCTGATGGAGCAGTCGTGGAAATGCAACCTCATGAGAGCAGGCGCGAGTGTGTGATCCTTGTCGACCCATTCTTTAACCTTGCTGTGGATAATTTTTTCAAGGTCGGGACAGGTTCCATGATAGTGGGAGAAACTGAGAGAATCTGAATCATCAAAAAGCAAGGCATTATTAACTGAGAATGCAAGAATTATGGAGAAGACGGAGAAATAGGTGGTAGACCATGTCATTGTTATTAAAATGTTAAACTCAAAAAACAAAAGAGGAAGGAAATGAATTGTAATTGATGATGTTGAATGGCTCTAGTAGTGTTTATATATATAGTTATTGCCAATATTATTATTGAAAAATACGTGAGAAGCACCTTCGGAGAATTTATCTCCAAGAACGTGCGGACCATTTAACCCAAAATCATATGCAATGTACTCATTTGGTGGTGCATAAAATAATATATACGAGGCAGCCGCTCGATACTCGATATTTGCAAGTCTGGATTATTATACTAGATTGCACGAAAATAGAATTGGAGAATAAAACGCGACAAGACAATTTTGAAAAACGTTATTTTTGAAACAAATAAGACACGAAATCATGTGGGAACTCTTTTTTTTCTCACTTCCTTTATGATTCAGAAGAATTGAAGCATCACATCCCTACAACACCACGATGTAAAAAACAAATTAATTAACAGGGACGAGATTAACCATTTCATCTAAATGCTTAAGCTACTACGGCTGCTACTTACCCTGATGGAGCAGTCGTGGAAATGCAACCTCATGAGAGCAGGCGCGAGTGTGTGATCCTTGTCGACCCATTCTTTAACCTTGCT